GTCTGATTTACCATGGGAAACACTGGGTGTTGTCCTGGGAACAGCTGGGCTGGTCTCCTCAGGATGGGTGACCAATGAGACTGTTGTCTCTGGCTCTCCAGAGGAAACTGAAGTCATAGTTGGTATAGCTGAACTGGTTTCTGTCTCAGAATGGGTGACCCAGGAGGCTGCTGTCTCTGGTTTGTGTGTGGAATCAGTCAGAGTTGGAAAAGCTGTACTGGTCTCTGTCCCAGAACTGGTAACCAGGGAGGTCACCATCCCTGGTACACCCGGCGAGGCAGTCGGAGCTGGGAAAGCTGAACTGGCTTTTGTCCCAGGACTGGTGGCCATTGAGGGTGTGGTGTCTGATTCACTATAGGGAACATCGGAGGTTGTCCTGGGAACAGCTGGGCTGGTCTCTTCAGGATGGGTGAGCAATGAGACTGTTGTCTCTGGCTTCCCAAGGGAAACTGTCATAGTCGGAATGGCTGAACTACCTTCTTTCCCAGAACGGGTGACCCGTGAAGCTGTGGTCTCTGGCTCCTGTGGGGAATCAGTCAGAGCTGGAAGAGTTGTACTGGTCTCTGCTCCAGAATAAGTAGCGAGTGAGGTCCCCATCCCCGGTACACCAGGGGAGACAGCCGTAGCTGGGACAGCTGAACTGACTTCTGCTCCAGGACTGGTGGCTGTTGAGAATGTGGTATGCGATTCACTATGGGAAAAAGTTGGAGTTATTTTGGAAACAGGTGGGCTGGTCTCTGCAGAATGCGAGACCCATGAGGCTGTTGTCTCTGGCTTGTGCGTGGAATCAGTCAGAGTTGGAAAAGCTGTACTGGTCTCTGCCCTAGAACTGGTGAGCAGTGAGGTTTCTACCTCTGATACGCCAGGAGAGACAGTCACAGTTGGGATGGCTGAAGCGATCTGTGCCCCAGGATGGGTAACTGATGAGACCGTAGCATCTGGCTTACCAGGGGAACCAGTCAGAGCTGGGACGGCTGAACTGGTCTGTGCTGCAGAATGAGTAGCCCACGAGACTATGTTTGCTGATCCACCAGGAGAAAGAGCCCGAGTTGGAACAGGCCCACTGGCATCTTTTTCAGAACTAGTGGCCTGTGAGGTCAACATATCCGGTACACGAGAGGAGAGAAGTGTAGCTGGAAGAGCTGAACTGGCTTCTGTCCCAAGGCTGGTGGCCACTGAGGGCGTGGTGTCCGAGTCACCATGGGAAACAGCAGAGGTTGTCCTGGGAACAGGTGGGCTGGTCTCTGCAGGGTGGGTGACCAAGGAGACTGTTGACTCTGATTCATGCAAGGACTCAGTTAGAGGTGAAACAGTTGTCCCGGTGTCTGTCCCAAAACTAATGACCAGTGAGGTCACCGTAGCCGGGATGCTGGGTGAGACTCTCATCCCTGGGGTGGCTGAACTGGCTTCTGCCCCATGACTGATGGCTGTTGAAGATGTGGTGTCTAATTCACTAGGAGAAAAATTCAGAGTTGCTTTGGAAGCAGGTGTGCTGGTCTCTGTGGAAGGGACCCGTGGGGCTGTTGTCTCCGGCTCACCAGGAGAGACAGTCAAAGTTGGAACAGTGGACCTGGCTTCTGTCCCAGGATGGGTGACCCCTGAGGCTGCTGTCTCTAGTTCATGTGGGGCATCAGTCACAGCTGGAAAAGCTGTGCTGTCCTCTGCCCCAGAACTGGTGACCGATGAGATTTCCACTCCTGATATGCCTGGGGAGACAGCTGGAGTCGGAGGGCCTGAGCTGGCCTGTATTCCAGGATGGGTGACCAGTGAGACTGTTGGACCTGGCTTCCCACGGGAAACAGCCAGAGTTTGAACAGCTGGGCTGGTCTCTGTCCCAGGACTAGTAACCAGTGAGGTCACCATTCCCAGTACATCAGGGGAGGCGGCTGGAGCTGGAATAGCTGAACTGACTTCTTCCCCGGAACGTGTAGCTGTTGTGGGTGTGCCAGCTGATGCACCATGAGAATCGCTGAGGACTGCCCTCGAAACGGTTGGGCTGGTCCCTGCAGGATGGGTGACCCATGAGGTTGTGGTCTCTGGCTCACCAAAGGAAACGGTCAGCGCTGGAACAGCTGCACTGGTCTCTGCCCCAGAACGAGGGACCAGTGAGGGTGTAGTCTCTGGCCCTCCACTGAAAATAGATGGGGTTGTCATGGGAACTGCTGTGCTGGTCTCTCCTCCAGGTCTGGTGGCCAATGAAGCTGTCATCTTTGGAACATCTGGGGCTGTGACCATCATTCCTGTTGTGCTTGTGCTGGCTGGCTGACCTGACGTCCTGAGGGGAGGCAACGTTCTTGAAGCTGGAGAAGAGACTCTGGCAGTGAAAGTCACTGTGGAGGTGGTCTTCAGAGCCGTGGCCGTGGCCTCTGCCCTCTCTGTTCCTCCCATTGGTAGTCCTGAGTATCCTAGGATGGACACAAAATTGGGACAACATGATTACTACTTACTGGTCTGGCAATCACTTATTTTTTTCTCCACATCAGGAAAGGAGGAGAAATGTCTCTGCCTGGGATGCGTCTGGAAGGGGAAAAGGAATTGTGATCGGCGTTCCTTTACCTCACCTGACTCGTCTTGGGCTGCAGCTTCTCCACAAATTCTTTTTGTTCCTTTGTTTAAAAGTATTGCTTTAGAAGAGGAACTGAATTTTTAAAAAAAAAATCAGTGTCTGAGATCATTATATATATTAAGAGCTTGAAAATAAAGAGAGAACAATGGAAAAATTGAAAATGGAAATCCAACTTAAGGTTTATTATTTTTTCCTCAGGTAGAACTCAGAATAACTACAACAGAAACAAAAGTTCAAAAACATAATGAGGGGGAGGGTGTAGCTCAGTGGGAGAGCGCATGCCTAGCATGCACAAGGTCCTGGGTTCAATCCCCAGTCCCCCCAGTAAATAAATAAGTAAACCTAATTACCTCTCCCTGCACAAAAAAAATGAAATAAAACTTTCCTTAATGATGATCCATGTACATGAAATAAAAGGGCTCTCCAAGAGCAATTAGATTCCAAATAAATCTGACTGCTCTTTTTGTTAAATACAGTCATAGGTGGCAGCT